TGCTGTAGACATCACATATTTCAATTAATATTTCTTTTGCATTCTTAACAAGTTTTACAGAAGCTTTACATGAAGCGTATAACTTCACTCTTGTTAACCGATTCTTTACCATTCATTTTTAATGCAGTGTCTCGAATAGCCCTTGTTTTCCAGCTTCTCACAATGAAACTATATGATGAAACGTGGTTACATAAACGGTTATCAATTTATTAAAGATTTAATCATGAGAGAAAGCCAAAGTTAATGTAAAATATTTTCTATGTTGTACGTTATAGAGTTCAGGACATAATTTATTGAACAGCCCTCGTAAAATAAGACAAACTGATAGATAAAGCCATTTTCAAAAAAGCAAGAGAAATAGAATGATCAGGGATCACAAAATGCTTCGTCTAGTACTCCTAACTAAATCTTAAACTAGATCTATTAACTTGCCCGTACATGCATCCAATTGTTACCATTATCTTGTAAACTACACAAAGCTATAGTGCTTGAGCACTTTTAGTTAACCCATCTCATTCCCTTTAACATTGGCCTCTCTTGGTCTTAGAAGAACATTAAATGTACGAAAGATAAGGTATTTTAAACTCAGTTTTATTTATCTATTATTAACAAGTCTACCTGACCATTAAGAATAATGAAATTACTCTTTCTATGATATACATCCGTGAATTATGAAAATTCTTGTATAAATCTTTAATGAAATTGACATTTTAATTGCCTTATTTACAGTAAATAATTATTTCGTAGGTGAAAAGCAAAGTAGAAAAGCTTGTCTCAGTAGAATACAAATAATAGAGCCCTGCCCAGCACCAGTATACTTTATCAAGTGGTTCGGAATTTCACAAATATAATACAAATACCTATTGGACTTTGTTTGTCTTCTAGATACCCAGGAGCAGAGCAAAAGATTTTTTAAAATATGCATTTTCACTACTGTGGAATCATTTTAATTCGTGGGGGTCAATGTTCGTGGGAAAGCAAAATTTTACTTGTTCGTGGGGACGTAATTTCGTGGGTTACTAGTTTTTACGGTAGATTCAATATGTTTAGAAAATAAACGTTCGTGGGGATGTAAATTCGTGGGTAAGTGTGACCCACGAAATCCACGAACATTGGTCCCCTACGAACAATGATGATTCCACAGTATACATGCAACACAGTCCCGCCCTAATTCATAATTTCAGAAGAAGCACCCTTGCTCATTATAAATGTGCATTTAGTTTATCTTCTAAATACCCAGAAGCAGAGAAGAAAAGTTTGAAAGAATCTATGTATTTTAATATATAATGAATAGAGCAACCCCCCCCCCCCCCAACACCAGAACCCCTGACCAGGGGCAAGGAAATTCATAATTTTAAAAGATCATAACTATGCACTTCATTTGTTTCCTCAATGACCTGGAGCAGTGAAGAAGTTCTTCAAAGAATGAATGCATTTTCAAGTAATAATCACATAGAACCTCCCTCCTACTAGATTCCTTGACCCTTGGGCCACAAATATCACAGTTTTGGAAGATACACCTTTGCTCATCATAACAATGCACTTAATGTATCTGCTTAATATACAGGGGGAGAAAAAGAGATTTCTGAAGAATTTATGCATGTTCATTATAAGATCGCTCTAACTGCAGAACCCCTGACCCTGGGGCCCTGAATTTCACAATTAAATTTTGGTAGATGGCTCAATGCTTATTACAATCATGACAACAGTTTACTGCTTGATGTCCAGGAGTATAGAGAATATGATTTTAGATTACATTAATAGGGAAGAAGCTGAAAATGTTAAAGTGTTAACGGACGACGCACAGGGCACAAGGCACGACAACGGATAAAACAGATAGCAATATGTATCTCAGTGTGACTCAGCTGATCTAATAAAAAAATGCAAACGAAGTAAAATCCGAATAATTCATGACCACATAGTACATGTATACATATACTTACTTCCGTTTGCATCAGTGTTCTGAATGAACTGTTTAGCATCTGCTAAGTTAGCAACTGTCGCCTGAGTTAGTTCTCTACGCCAAAACTTCAGTCTATTATGAAAGGCTATCAGCATAAAACGATCGTTTGAACTAATTTCGTCTAAGATTTTTAACATGGATTTTTGAAGTTGTTTCATTTTCTTTCCTCTCATCGACCCACTTCTGTCCAACACGAAAACAATGTCCATGGGCATGGGATCCAGGCGGTCCGGCGCCAGAAAATGAACAAAATAGCCATCCATAACCTGCAGAGAATTACAGAGACAAGGTTTACTTCGGATTAATTTTATTATCTTGGTTGGGGATTTCCTTAATTCAAACTAACCGATCACGGTTGGCTAGTGGTAGGGCGTTAGCTAGATCGGGAGGCCTGGGTTCGATTCTCGTTCGCCGCACCACGTCAAACCTAAGGCGTAAACAAAGGTAGTAACTGTTACTTCGCCCGGCACTAGAAGTGAAAGTCATCGGTCTTTCGGATGAGACCTTAAAACCGAGGTCATGTATCAAACTAGGCGTTGGCACGATAAAGAGCTCTCAGTTCTCAATGGCTCTGAGTGCCGAATGTAGGTCTAAACTGGAGGTCCATCACCGGTATATGGTGATGTCTCTATATGAGTGAAAAATTCTCTAATGGGACTTAAAACAACATACAATCAATTAATAAATCATTATAATTTAAGAAAATTTCATCAGTTAGAATGTTCTAAATGTATGGCACATGTTTTGACTGTAAGGTACATGTCGTTGAGAAGAAAAGTTAATGTAAAACAGAGTATTTTATAAAACATCTTTGTTATACAAATATAAGCATCGTTCATAAAATGTATAGGGGTGTTTACTCATTGGTTTCGTTAATGAATTTGGGTTTTAAATTTATTTGTTTTAAAATTGATAAGTCTTATATAGGAAACTTTTTTTTTTACCATGATCAGTACTTAATTAAGCTAATTACCAAAACTTCTCCAGAATTTTTCTCTCGTTGAACGTCATATTGGACGACAAATTGTCCGGAAATCCCCTGTTCAGACAAAATCTCTTGTTGTGACTTTGTTAGCGAGTAGGAAATATTCACTTCAGTTGGAGAGAGGCGTGCAATCTCTGCGTCTTTGTTTTTCTCTATCAAAGTCCAAAAAAAATACCAAAGGTCAATTTTAGCTCTACTTATTTTTCGGTGCAGATGTAGTATATGTGCATAGCGTATATGGAATGTTAAACACAGAAAGAGTTGTGGTTTACAAAATCTGGCTTCCCGATTCTGGTTTTCGGACATAATATAAATTTGAAAGAAACATGACCCTTCCCTTTTTTTATTGTCATTCAAATAATCAATTTATCTTGCATTGAAAACAAAAATGTACTGCGTTAGGTTTGATTTTCGTATTTCATTGGTTCAATTTAAAAGAAATAATGAAATACGCTTTTAAGTATAATTATTAGTGTAGTGCTATATGTTTCAAATCCATAATCATTCTTAAATAGTCGAGGAAAGATTATCTATATACACAGGCATTTAACATACTCACTGCAAATTTCAGATGTTTATGAAACACAATAGCGCGAAATTTATACTCAACCTTAGACATTTTCATGTACTGATAACCTTGAGATATTACGAAATCAGAAATTCTGTCCAAAAAAGAAGTGTCTCTAACATACTTGAAGATATTTCCATAATTATGGCAATGCTGGTAGTAGATAAAAGATGAAGAAAGATCTAGACGAATGAAATCAGTACTTCCCAAAGATAAAAAGGACACAGAGAAAGAAACGATATAAGAGGAAATAACAAAGATGGTTGATAATTGAACTTTTTCTTTCTACTTCCATATTCTTCAATCATTTTCTTACCCTCCTTTTTCTCCGTCAATATGTCGTTCCGTAATGGTGGTACATGAACTGATGTTATATTCCTATATTCCTCAATGAAGACATCAACTCTGAAGTCGTCCACAATTTGCCCTGGATTTATGTAAATTAACTGTTCATATCTCCCGAGTCTTCTGCGTAAAAGTTCCCGGTAAGTTAATTCGAACGTTACCTTCTCGGCGGCAGCAACGTTTATTTGAATCTGGAATTTATTGGAATCTCTTGGTCTGAAAAGAAAGACGAATGATGTAGTCGAAATATATAATACAGGGCTCTAATTGACGACTAATTTAGTCGCCATGGCGCCGAAAAAATTATGATTGGCGCCTAAAGTTTTTCTATAAGTCGCCAAATTGGCGACCATTTTCAATTTACTTGGTGTTCGTTAAATAACTGAACTTTAAACATTTTCAATTTTTTTTTTTTATAAAAAGCAGAAAAGAAGTTTAAAAGTTAGCATTAGACATGTCTCTATATATTGACTAATATCAGATTTTAAATTGGTGCCTAGGAAAAATTTACCTGGCGACTAAAAATTTGCTTTGCGACTATTTTTTTTTTTTATTTTAGCCAATTGGCACCTAAATTTTAGAAGTCACATAGAAGCCTGTAATATTACGTATTAATACTTTTAATTTCTCAGTAACGATATGTAAACAGATTGCAAGAAATATTCTAATAATCCTTTATAATAGATATTTCAGAGGAGCAATAAGAAATTAATAAGCAATAAATTCACCTTGTACTCCTAAGGGAAAAGTCAACATGAAACAAATATCAAGTTTTTTTTAACTTTTAGGTAAATTGATGAAAATTCTCACTTTGCAACTATATGACCAGCACTCTGCCTACGTGATTTGGCCGTGTCATATTCTTGCTTAGCTTGTTTTTTCTCTTTGACTTCACCCTTGTATTCGGTTCCATTGATAGTCCTAGGTAAAAAAGAAAAGGGGAAAAATATATTTAAAGATACTATGCACAGTTGAATAGTATCCGTTCTCATCATCATTACGTACGGTACATTCAAAGGTAAACAAGTTATTAATTCATATTTTGTTTTACATAAGATTGAAAAAAAAAATCATTCGAAATCGGGATGTCTTACATTTTGAAGGATGTCATAAAAGCCTCGTTTGGGAGTGTAACGTCAAAGAGAGTTTCAGATGCCTCTGTTCCCGGGTTGACAACTTTGCTTGTGATGACTGTTTTTGAGAAACGATATTTTATTTCCGAATTCACGTGAAGAAAATAAATCTGTGGCTTCTCTACAGTGCTCTTAAAAAAGAAAAAAAATCACAATGGTTTCAAAATATTATCTACAAATTAATTCGTGCTTAACACGATTGTAATAAAGAATTCATAACAAAAAATTCAAAGAAGTGTGTGAATTTATAATCAATAGTCTGTGGGCATATTAATTCTTACGCTTTGTTATAATTTTATTACCTTATCTACTTCTTTACCAAAAGCAGCGATGTTGATCATCAACAATACAACTAGTGTTAGAGACTGATCCATCTTCTTAACGTGCTTTACTTGAAATGAACTTTTCCTGAATCTGCAGGATTTTTTATAATCAGAAATATGAAGTGAAAATAAAAGTACCGAAAGTACTGACGGGATTTGGTTTTAATGTCGCTAGGTTTAATCTGTCTTCTGTTTAATCAGACTACAACTTTAATCCTGTATATTACTTTTTGAGAATTCCTATTTGGTCTCATGGTCTGACAGTAGTAAATGGCTAAATGAGGTCAAGACCTTGATTCAAGATTAATTCTAAAGATCTATGCGGGCATGTTAATGCTACAACCAGATTATCTATCTTGTCTATACAATATGACGTCTTAGTAAGCTATATGACGTGAACTTTAGAAATATTGATTTCTTAATATTTATATTTTAAGATTTATTTCAAGTCCTAGATATAATGGAAACATACAAAACATACACAATAAACTAAATATTGGCATTGTTAAATAATATAAATAACTTAGTATTTGTCACAGGAGTTAAACACCAAACATATGACGTCATAGCCATGATTACTGTTCATTAAATATTCGTGGAATGAAAATGAAACGAAACGAGAATTCATGGTAACAAATATACGAAAAGGGAGTCAAAAAGCACATACGAGGGGTTATCCAAGTCTTCTTGGACTGATGCCATAGAATAAACATAGGTAATCAGAGATTACAGAGCTCACCTCAACGAATGTTGTCTTTAAGTAAGGCAAAACCCACATTAAACTAATAATATAGTAGTGTATATCCTAAGGTCAACATTTACGCCATTTTGATCTGATAGAGCTTGCGGTATCTTGGGAATGGACTTATCCAAAAACTTCAAACTAGTCACTCATCCAGAAAATGTAATTCAAATCCAGCATCTAAAGCAAATTTAAGAGCGTTCATCCCTTGATGCATCATTCATGCAAGTTTGGTTCAGATAGGCCCTATAGTTTCTTGGTAATGGACCTGCGCCAAAAATTTTAACCTGGTCACTTATCTGGAAAATGTAAGTCAAACCCAGTCTCCGAAGCAAGTCAAGTCGCGTGCATCCTTAGATGTATCATCAATGCAAGTTTGGCCAACATAGGTTTATAGTTACTTTAAAATAAAGCTGCTCCAAAAACTTTAACCTGATCACTTATCCAGAAAATATAGGTCAGATCCAGCATCCGAAGCAAGCTTGGTAATATGCATCCTTAGATGCATCATCCATGCAAGTTTGGTCAACATAGGTCTCATAATTACTTTAGAATGAATCAGTTTCAAAAACTTTAACCTGGTCACTCATCCAAAAAATGTAGGTCAGATCCAGCATCTGAAGCAAACCTGGTAGTGTGCATCCCTCGATGTATCATCCATGCAAGTTTGTTCAACATAGGGCTTATAGTTTATTGGAAATGGGACCTGCACCAAAAACTCTAATCTGGCCAGATTCAGCATCCGAAGCAAGCCTGATAGTGCGCATTCTTAGCCTGATAGTGTGCATTCTTAGAAGTATCATCCATGCAAGTTTGGTCATCATATGTCTTATAGTTAACTGGAATTGGACCTGCACCAAAAACTTAAACCTGCTCCAAAAACCCTAACCTGATCTAAAAACATTAATCATGACATTCTTCATCTGAAATTGCAGCATCTGAAACAATGATTCACACTAGAAGCATCTCTTTGCATCTCTGATTAATGTAGGGCAAAGAAGTACTTAAAAAGAAAACTGCACCAAAAACTTTAACCCTGGACGCCGACGGTATGCCATAAGCTCCCCCAACTTCATTGAGGTGAGCTAAAACCCCTTAAGGTACATCAATGAAGTATTAATCGTTTATTCAACATCATATTTTCTGTCTACAGAATAAACATACGGTTAATCTTTGAAAAAATTGTAAATGTTTCCATCAGAAATGCTATGTCCGCCCTGAGAGACCTCAAAATACGACTTATTTCAATATTGAATTTAAAGAAAAATAATCCTCTGATATGAGCATTTTTCATCCAATAATCTATTAATTTAATTCACTAACTGTGCCGTAAAATTTATAATTTTTACCTTATGTTGACAGCTCTATGAGATCTTATCATAAATTTAATAGAGAGTCCTAAAAACGTAGTTGCTAAAACAATGACGCCGGAAAGGGGTGTCTTTTGACCGCTATTTATTGATCCACTTTAAAAAAAGCACATAGACTTTAGAAATGTTAAACATGCCAGAGGTAGACAAAATTAGTCTATTTTTAAACGGCAAACCAAAAAAAAAAAAAAAACAAAACAAAACAAACAAAAGGAAAAGCAAAATGAAAGAGAGGATAGAAATCGCCGTCCAGGTGAGCGAAGTCAGTGAGGTCGAAATGTAACGTTGCTCGCGTGTGGTAGAAATTGATCTCCAGTGAGCATTTTGAGCTGCCAAAGTCAACTGAGGATCTTTATTTTAACGTTCATAGGTCCATTTAGAATACTGTGTTTTGAAATCAGCTGTACATGAAATTTTAAAGTCACATAAACAAGATGGGTTTCAATCAGTATTAAACAATAGGGTATTTCAGCAAGTAAAGTGCATTGAGGCAGAAGGAGTGGACATCGAGAAGCAAACGTCATTAAACAAAACGGCGACTACGCCGAGTGATCATGTAGTCTTTTGTATTTCACGATAAATTGGCAAACTATCAACGTATCAAGTCAAAATTTTCAACACTTCTTGAACTTAGCTTTTTTATGATCCTTTTGTAAGCACAGCCTATATAGTATTAATTTTATCGTATCAGTCCAGCAACTTTTTGATAACCCTCGTACAGTGAATATCACGTGTGATTCATGAATAATGAAACTTAAGAATCTGATTTATTCTCATTATTCTCATCAATTTTTTTTCTTATAATGGAGACGGTATTTTTAAATCCTTTTTTAGCCTTTTTCTATGTCGTTCTTAACAAAAATTCAACACTACGCCACGTACTTTGAAACATAATTTTTGTCGATATCGAGAGCTTGTGTTCTATAGTACTTGGAAAGTGCTGCTAGAATAGTGTGGTTAACATGAATTGATGAAAATTGTTCTATCTTATGTACAAAATGTTAAGAAAATGTTAAAGTTTTATGCAAGAGTGTGGAATAATTATATTTGTTACACGAAAGTAGGATTCTAGCATCACTTTTCATGGCCCAGAGATGTTTTTACATAATTGATTTTACAAACAGAAATGACTTATCTCCGGGGTAGTATTGAACTTTCACTTTTCATTTAGGCATATTTTTTTTTTAATTTATAGACGTCACATGATTTATAATGGATAATGATAGTAAATGTTTTATCCGTAGCTTTCTGATTAATCCATGACATTTTACAAAAAAGTGTGAATTTGCCAAATAATGATTTAGGTGCTGTCTTAACATACCTGCTTAAGAGGTAAATATTGATCGAGTTTGTATTTTGTCAATAACTTTGTAAACATGAAACACAAGATGTTCAAATCTGACTTAAAGTAAGGATTTCACAGGTGAATTTGTCGTTATCTTAAAACAATGTTGTTTGAAGATGCCCAACGTCCTCTTATTGTTAGTACATTATTTCTGTTTAATCTGTAATATTTAATAGAAGAACTCAAGAAGCTTTTTTCTGCGTAAAGGTAGCATATGTTCAAAGAATGTCATGCCTTTATACCCTAAACTGGAACTCTAAAATATAATATCTGGTTCAAAATTTATAATTGCAGATTTGTTCCAAGTCATACAGCACAATAAAATCTATTGTCAAAGTGCTTCCCCTTGAGATAACTCATGGTGGTGGTTAAAAGATTTCTGTTCAAAGGTTGCAATGGAAAAAAAATAGTTAAACGAAGTTCTTTCTTACATTAAAATCTTTGATAATAATTTTGATATCTTTTTAATGGAATTTAATTGCATAAAACAGATTTCTTTCGTGCGTGTTTGTGGGTTGGTGGAGGGGTGGGGTGGGGTGGGATTCTAAACTTTTTATTTATAGTCGTAATGCTTGAATTCACCTACAAATATTTCCCCGCTTTATTGTGTTTCCATACATAAGAATTAATACTGGATATTTTCTTTATTTTAGAAAAATCTTTACAACAAGCATCATCAAAGGTACAAAAATAAAATTAGTTTTCAATTTTAAAAATACACTTACAATAAAGTTAACAGCTTATTTAATTCTACACATGTTGAAATATTCAAATGAACTGTACATGTATCAATATACACTGTATTGCACATATGTGGTGAAAAAATTATTGGAAAGGAAATGTGAAACAAAAAAAAAGTCTTGTTTTTGCAATGCTAATGATTTATGATTGTAATTTATATACAATGAAATGATGATTATGATGAAACCTCACAAATGTGATTCGTAATCTGAAGTTGTTTTTAAGATTAAGGAAGCTCTAAACACTGCACACTAAAGAGTTCTATTTGTAGGGTAGTTTTATTGAGTTAGAGTGATCCACCCTTAGAAGAAAAATAGAATAAATGGGAATCTACAGTTTATGACACAATTTCTTACGAATTAAAGTATTCTTAATGTTATGTTAGACCAAGATTAAGTAATTGAATGCATTATTTGCATTAATTTCCCCGATGCAGGTAAACAACAGTGATTTCTGTTCATGAATAGTCCATTGTCTTTGAACATTTTTTTCTGCAGAAATAAGGCAGGTACCCTATGTTGAAAATGAACTAGATACACTGAATATGTGCACCTTTATATGATATATTTTTCTCAAAGTCCAAAAAGCATTTTTCATTAGTGCTTAGAGCTTCCTTAATCTAAAAAAAATGATTTTTAATTAAATGTTCCTTATTCATATGAAAGAATTATAATAACAACAAAACTAAACTGTACTGATGACAAAAGAAATAGACATGGCATTGTATGAGAACATGCATAACAGAAAATTATGGCTTGATCTCGTAGTTTGTGGGACTAATGTTTAGTACATTCACCAATTTCTTGTTAAGGAACCAGCACGAATCACCAGATGGCGATGTTTTCCGAATGACTTTGAACTTTAATGTACGTCTTCCTCGTCGTCTGCATTTTACCTTCGCCATTAATTTTCCTTTTCTTGAAAATTGTCTCACTATCTTGCATTTCATATTAGCAAAGTGGCCTGTAAATTAAAAAGAATTGCACTTCATACCACTTAAAATAATTTCACTTCATACTGCTTAAAAGAATTACACTTTGTACCGCTTAAAAGAATTACACTTTGTACCGCTTAAAAGAATTTCACTTCACAATGCTTATAAGAATTACAATTTATACAGCTTAAAAGAAAAACACTTCATACTACTTAAAAGACTTAAATTCTACAATGCTTAAAAGATTAAATTCCTTACTGCCTAGAGGAATTGCGTTTCCAATTGCTTATTGCTTATAAACCATATATAATTTTGATTCCAATTAAGTAAAAATAGTTTTGGATGTTGTCAGTGCAAAACCTCAAAAGTTGAAGTGTATTACCATAAATGTTTAAGCACACAAGAAATTTGAAGCTGTATTTAAACGATGAAACATGAAAATATCAACATACTGAGAATTCCGCCATACTGTTTCCGTTGGCGGCTGTGAATTTCTGCCTTCACACTGAGTCCTTGTTGACCCTTTTCAACGTCCAATTTTATTCCATCCACGTCACATTGGAAACTTGGAACATTTTTGAATGCTTCAACATGGAACGTGTCATGTACTTTTCTTCCTTTGTACTTTTCAACCTTCATGCTGGCAAACGTTTTGAGGGTCCTGTTTTGTTTGCTAGCAGTATTTGCAATCATGGCACACCCTTTACAAAAGAAATTATAATTATGATTTGCATATGTTTGCTACATGCCTATGTTTTTCTTTCTAATACAAAATGAAAATTATCCCAATATATTTTTCTGGTTGTGGATTTGCAAAATAAATGAATGCTTCAATTCAAAATTGATGTCTTTCTAAAGTTTCTCTTGTAATACTGAAATTTCTACACGAGTAGATATAGAATTTTTTTTTTAAAAATGTACCACTTACCATTCTTTTGTTTTGTCATCTTGATAATGTTGTAGGTCTTCGACTTTTTCAAAGGTAAGTCAAAGCACATGTTCACCTTGGATACTTTAACAAGGAAGAATGGTAGCGACTGGTCCTTCCTAGAGGGACTTGGTGTACTGACTGAAAAATAAAACACCCACTTTTAGAAGATTTCTTTTGATGCAGAAAAGTAAAACAAGAATGGAGGCTTAATGATTAAAGAATAAAGAAAAACTTAATAAAAACACTAAATATTATGTTATTTTTTAGAATATCAATGATCAGTTTTATAATTATTATTGCTTATTATTATTATAAGTTCAATCTTTAGTTACAGGACAAGTTTCTGAAGGGAATAATTGTCAAATTGTTGTCAAAATAACAAAATATGTGATCTAAAATAGGATCTCGTTTAGCACTCACTAATGAATGAATATCATATAATTATACCCTTCAATGGAAAACTAAGATTTCCCTTTGTTGGGTTTGCATTAAAAAATGGTATGCTTCATACATTGCAGCAGATGACCAACTGTTACCTGTACATCAATGGATATTACTTAGTAATACTTACATATATATGTATATTTGATATCAAGTTATATAAAAACTAACATTTTCAGTATTTGTAGGAATGCATTGTATAGATCTACACATCGCAGGTAAACCATTGCTACACAAACACCGAGAGCAAGGATTTGAGTGAGGTTTGAAGAGTTTACCAATGAAAATTGCTTTTCCCTAGTAGTCTCTACATTTTATTTTTTATATAAGATATTGCTGAAAAGCATGTAAAAATTAATGATTTAATAAGTTCAAATTTTGATGTTAGATAATACAGTGTTGAAGCGTCCTTTGATATCACTGACAGATCATTCGGATGTCCCTCATTAAAAAAAATATGCAAGCGTCAAGCTTGGGATATAAATCTTAGTTTCTGCAAACTTTGGAACGAATCATGGTCGTAATAAAACATGTAGTTTTCATATTAGAATAATACAAGTATTCATTTTGAAATTTTTATCATTCTTCAGGACAAAATATTAACCTCAGACAGAAATTTATATCCCGACTCCAGAAAAATCATTATAGAGTACACGGACACTTCCAAGTGAAGTTAACCTGTCGTATCCCTTTTGTTTGATTTTAAAAAATAACAGTTTAATCACAAATTTTCACAAACGTTGGGTATCTGCCATAGCTCGCCCTCTTCTCTGAGACGAAAGTCAGAAAGATGCTAAACAAACTTTGATTCGAAGACTGCTCTTCAGACCCAATTAATCTTTTTTACTTCACATGTCATCAAGTCTCCTTAAGAGCACAAAACATTATATATTTTTATTTTACATGTCTGTTTTGTCGTAGCATTTCAAGTAACGTCTGTTATTTAACGAAATTACGAAATTACACTCTGTACCTTGAGATCTCGTTGTAACAGGTGAATTGGTAGTCGTGGTGGTAGTTCTGAAAATTCGGCGATGAAACTTTCTTCTTTTCATCAGGTGCATATCATAAGAAATTTGAGGAGAGCGATTACCTAAAGAGAGGATAAAAAATCAGTAAATATTTTAAAGTATTTGAAACAAGAATGTCTGAAATGTTTCGACTTTCGTATATGCGATATGAAACAAATAGACAAGCTCAATTTTTTATGATCAAGTTTTGTACGAGAAAGGACCGTATAAAATGATGAACTTGCATACTATTATATAAATTACTTACCAATTAGACGCGGGGGCATCATATTTCTCCCTGGTAAACCATACATGCCTTGTATAGCTCCACTTTGGCCGTATATCCGGGATGGTAGTGCCGAGAACTGCTCGCCTGTTAGTTAAACAAAGATACAAAAATTGTATGGATCAAAATAATCATCTCCATACATGTGTTAGAGTTACTTGTATAATAGATCTATACATGATTCGATGTTAGCATGCCGAGACCTGTTGACCTGGTCGAACAATTTGCCTGATGTATATCAAATGACGTATAATTTACTCGCAGAATGCAATAATGTTTTAACTGGCAATTCATTTAAAATCAAGTAAGATATCAATACAATGCGGCATATCAATACTATGAACTGTGCATGTTTAAATCAGCACACAAAAATGTCACTTCAAAACAGCTGGTTATTATAAAGTTGCATTGAATTAAATCTCCTATAGCAATATTTCCGCTACTAACATCTTGGACTTTGAAAATGTTGCACTTCGAAGCAAAAAACTCTACTTACGAGAGAGTTTTTGCTGATTCTTTTTTTTTATTGAGTAGAAATATCAAATTGCTTCTCCCGCAAGAGAGACACCTATCAATGAGTAGGTATAGGATAAGCACACTAATAATTGGGCAGTTGTTCTCTCTACCATCAAGATATTGAATTAAAAATGTCATGGTTATACTGATGAATAACCTAGATTGTTTGCCAAGAAAATTTTCTGACGGATAAACCTGACTGCACATTTGAACATACCTTGTGGTTCATCGTCTGTGTTGACACTCTGTAGATTAGGTTTAGAATCGTCTGGGAGGGTCACAACCATTGACGTCAGAGGGGTAACAAATTGATACTATCAAAAAATAAAGAAAATTATGAAGTTTAAAAAATTCAATTAATGCTAAAAATTAAAATGTATGTTTATCATATTTGAAATACGTTCCCATAATAATGAAAATTTCTAAGACTTTTCAATTCCTTAACCTTTAAAGACATGTCCAAAATTTTCTTTTCAATGTTTTTTATTTCCTCTTTGTCATCAAGACCATCTTTTTCACGAAGTAACTGTTTAATTGTGAGGTAGGCCCATAGATTTTCCATCATATTTGGGTGTCTTGGTTGAGGTTGTGGCGTGGGGGCAGGTATAATACGAGGAAAAGGACGCGGCGGCGGCAGAATACAAATTATGGGTCTTCGAAGCGAAACCTTCTCGCTGTTGAATCCTCGAGCATATATATCAACTCCATCTTGTAATTTTGTCATATCTTCTATCTTTCCAGCGACGACGAGTTCCGAGCCCTTAAAATATGTGTTGAAATCAGTCTGAGTCACTGTTGACTCATTTAAAGTACCATCAAGATATTTGAAAGATATGTTTCGCATGAGAACAGTTGAAATTTCTTGATAAAATCCTGCAATTTGTAAAGCAGCATCCGAGTCCTCGTATATTCTTTTGCCAAGGCCGTCATTTTGAGCGGCGACTTTCTTCGTAAAATCGTAGTCTGCACCTCGACCAAACGCAAGGCTGAAAATTGGAATGTCAACTTCGTTAAACTTTTTGATATTCTCGAGAATTTTATTGGTGTTGGTGACTCCGGAAGTAGGTTGTCCGTCCGTGAGGAAAACCAAGACCGGGGCTCTGGATTCCTGAGTATTTTGTGAAAGCAGCTTTAATCCTTCTGTCATCGCTAAATTGATGTCTGTACCTTTAAATCAACCAATAGAAATAAAATGGTATTCACAATTTATAAATCTTAGAGAAGGAATTAAACGCAATATTCTTTAAGAGGATTCTAAATACTTTTCAAATAACTTTTTTTCATAGAAATTTTTTTTTTTTATTACAAATCTTGTTCTCTGTGCGCTTAGCGTTTGATACAGCATTTACAGGCAAATGAATGATAAAAATTATATAAAAAGGCATATTGTTGCATATATGCTATAAAGGTAAACTTAAGCTTTTCCCCATATACATGTATTACCCCAAATAACAGGTAGATTTGCACGGAAATTAATGTCGTAAAAATGATTTCCTAAAAGATTTTAATTTCTATGATTGAAACAGCTGATAAGGATAGGAAAAATACTTCCGAAACAACAACAACAACAAAACAAATTAATGCTATTATCCGTAACAGTAAAAATAATTCCCAGGGTTTTACATGTCTATACATTGTACAGCACTTACTTCCGTCCGCGTAGGTGCTCTGAATGAACTGTTTGGCCTCCGCGATGTTAGCAACTGTCGCCTGAGCTAGTTCTCTACGCCAAAACTTCAACCTGTTATCAAAGGCTATCAACATAAAGCGATCGTTTTCACTAATTTCGTTTAGGATTTTTAACATGGATTCCTGGAGTTGTTTCATTTTATTTCCGCTCATTGACCCGCTTCTGTCCAAGACGAAAACAATGTCCATAGGCATGGGATCCAGGCCCTCCGGTGCCAAGAAATGGACAAAGTAGCCGTCCATAACCTAAAGATAAATGCAAAACTTTATATTTGATTCAAATTTATTTATTAGTGTAATACTGGAATTTTCACATTTTCATTTAAGTATCATGTTGTAAATTATGCAGTGCATCCACCAAGTAAATTCAAAATTTGCAACTTAATATAAGGAAGAGCTATTAACTGGAATGTTCTAAGTTAAAGGTATTTATAAAAGCTGAATTAATTTTTTTTCGCCGTGAAGAGACACTAGTTAAAGAACAATATAAATACAAATACATATAAAACAAAGCAGTTCCTTCAATTCGTCATGCATCATTATTATGTAATTATAAACGTCGCTTATGTATGTACTTTAAAAAGCTGATTACCATAACTTCTCCAGAATTCTTCTCTCGTTGAACGTCATAATGTACGACGAATTGTCCGGAAATCCCTTGTTCAGACAGAATCTCTTGTTGTGACTTTGTCAGCGAATAGGAAATCTTCACTTCAGTTGGAGAGAGGCGCACAATTTCTGCGTCTGTGTTTTTCCCTGTCGAAATCAAGACCATAATAATGTCAAGGGTCAAATTTAGCTTTAAGTATGTCGGTAGAGATGCTGTATATGTGAAAACTTAAAGTGGTATGTAAACAATCTAGAGTGTACGTCTATTGCGATAGAATGCCGTGTTTTTGAAAATCTGCTGTGACAATTGTTTTTCAGACTTGCATTAGAAAAAAAAAAACCTTCGCATTTTTCAGTGTCATTCAGATATCTTCCATTGAAGAAAATATATTGTTTTCTTCACTGCACCACCTATAGACGATTCTGAAGCATGATTATATTGACATGTTTATGCATCCATGTTTCAAATTACAGTTTTATTTAAATACATCGAGAAAAAAGTTTCACTGTGTGAACGTTTATGAAGCAAGTACAACTTGGTCAATTCAAAACTCATATTTACATGTATTTATGACCTTGATATACAAGTTTGTTATGTTTGAAACCAATGTTTTTGTCTGTCAAACGGAATATTTTTTATAAACATACCCCAACAACTTTTCAATTCATAATTTTGGCAAATCTGATGGAAGTTAAAGATGAAGAAAAATATTACTCAAAAATGGACATAAGAAAGAGAAATAAATGAGAAAATAATAAAACAGAAGTAACTTTTTCAGGGGGAAACATTCTGTATATTAAATAAATATGTCTCCCTTTACATTTACATTCTAAATCATTGTATTACCTTCCCTGCCATCTGTCAATATATCGTTCCGTAATGGTGGTACATGAACTGATGTTATATTCCTATATTCCTCAATGGAAACATCAACTCTGAAGTCGTCCACAATTTGTCCTGGATTTATGTAAATTAACTGCTCGTATTTCCCAGTTCTTCTACGTAAAAGTTCCCGGTAAGTTAATTCGAACGTTACCTTCTCGGCGGCAGCAACGTTTATTTGAATCTGGAATTTATTGGAATCTCTAGGTCTGAAACGACAAAGAACGATACAGACAAAATAATATTTAAGGAATGCTTTTAAGTTTTGTGTGAGTTATTGGTGTGTAAATCACACAGACTTGTCACGTAGGCATATGTAAATATTGCAAACTGAAACTTTATATCATGAGCAATATATATAAAAAGGAACACAAGACATGTGAATTAATAAGTTCTTTAATATCAAATATCTCAGAACTGCGAAACATAAGCGTTAATTTAATTATCAAAGAAAAGTCAACATGAAAGAGGCGTCAAATCTGACTTCATTTTATCTAATTTTAGATGAAAGAAACTCACTTTGCAACTATGTGCCCAGCACTTTGTCCACGTGACCTGGCCGCGTCATATTCCTGCTTGGCCTGCTCTTTTTCCTTGACTTCTCCTTTATAATCGGTTCCATTAATTATCCTGAGCAAAGATTAAAAAGAAACGCTATTTTATTTACAGTTTATCTAAAGCTATAACATATATCTCTAGGTACTCTAACATTGCAAAAAACGCAAAATCTTTAATTCGATGTTTGACCGGATGTCTTACATTTTGAAGGATGTCATAAAAGCCTCGTTTGGGAGTGTAACGTCAAAGAGAGTTTCAGATGCCTCTGTTCCCGGGTTGACAACTTTGCTTGTGATGACCGTTTTTGAAAAACGATATTTTATTTCCGAGTTCACATGAAGAAAATAGATTCGAGGCTTTTGTACATTGTTCTGAAAAAGAAAAAAAATTCGATAGTTTCAGAAACAACAATTTTATTATGAATCAAAACTGTTGATTGAATCTATTTCAAAACAAATTTAAGATTTGTGAGCATGCAGATTCTTAAATATGAATATTTTCATTACCTTGTCAGCTACTTCTTGGCCAAAAGCAGCACAGCTGATCATCAACAACATCCCTAGTCTAATCGCCTCGTCCATCTTAATTCTTACCATGTTTTACTTCAAGTGAGCTTCCCCTGAATGTGAGTGATTATTTATACTCAGAGCGAAGTGAGCGTGTGCAGAAGATAAAAATAAACAGATTTGTTGATGCTGCGAGATTGATAAACACTGACCGGAAAATTCGGGTGCGGATTGGCCGTATGCAATGCTGACGTCATGGATATTTACAAACTATGACCTTGTCTTTGAACACGGTGCAGATGGGCACTTTTGCAAAAGGAGAGGGGAAATTCCCAAAGAATACAGCTTTGAACACCCCCGCTGAGAATGCAGTCGACGTAAATATATGACAAGTTAAGAAAGAATTCAAGGTCTTCAGATTATATACTCGGTCAAGTGAGTAGTGGAGAATAACTTTTGCTCGTTATTTGATTAACTCTATATACATATTTTGGACACGCCGGATTACATGATAATTGTGAAAAATGTTTAAATGGTAAACGAAATCTGAGCATATTTTGCAAGAAAGTTGCTGAAGTAATTCATTTTTTATACCACCATGCAGTGTATAAGCAGGAATACACAATAAAATTATATTTCACACTGTGTGCATAAATTTTACGGTTCATTTCAGATTTTATATTTTTTGAAGCATCGGTCTATCGCTCATGTTTTTCTTTAGCTCTCTCTCTCTCTCTCTCCGTGCTATTATTTTTTTTTTGCTTATCTTCACCTCTTGAAATATAGTATACTTAATAAAATAATATTTTTCAATAGAGATAGTGAATTGATCATAATTGTTCAACTACTCAATTAGATCAAAATAAGATGCACCTATTCAGTATTTGTTCACAAATCAATTCCTATAGGACTACCTTCTATATTCATAAAATATTAGACAGGTACAAATTAGAAGAAAAAAATTATTTTTGTTTATATGACTATATATAAATGCAAGCAGTGTGCAGTTAAGTAAAGTCATGCGACCAGTTGAGTATTTAATACATTGTAAGACCGCGTCTTTATAAAAACAAATCTTTATCAGCAAATATAAACCTGTAATAAATATATATTTATTTGTACTCCGTACATTCTTTTTGAGTAGTTAATTTATGTTTTCATAATATCCAAATTGTAGCAAAATAAAAATGTCGTCAGGGGCATTTAAAAAATCAAACAGGTCAGCTAATTCGATACAGAGAGGTCAAAAGAAAGTCACAAAAAATACAAGGCGTACATGTGTAAGGGGATATTCAAGCTGGGGAATTCCCTAAATGTTTCACCGTTTGCATCAACATTTTATCTCCCGCAGTGTATGATAATTAAATAATTGCTCAGCCTACATACCTGAAACAAAACTTCACAAGGCACATTTAATACAATGAAGAAGGATGAATTAAAAAAAAATCTTCTTTCAACTCAGATTTAATAACTGACTATTCTCTTCTAAAATATAGTCCAATCCACAGTTTTTCAAAAGTTGTGTCCCTTTGCAGGGTCAACCAAAAGGTCAAAAGAAAGGGAAAGAAATGATTTGGGCATGCTCCGATAAATCCACGGTGTTTAATTTTTTTCTTTCTTTTTCCCCATCTGGGGCAACCATTTCCAGTCAAATGAGAAGTTCAACGTTACAAACCAGTAAACTACAGAGGCTACTGTGAGGATCCCATGGATTTTCCCCCCAACAGGGCGGCCAAGTGACATAACTTTTGGAAAGTGTGGACTCCATTCTCTGTTCAGTTGTTCCCGCTATATACGTACGTCTGTCAACGCAACTAGAGATTATATTCTGGAAACGGTATGATTTTGGAACCGGTGAAGCTTTGACTGCTTAAGGTTTCCACTCAAATGTGCTTGAATTAACGTAATAGAGCTTATCCACTCGGAGAACTTGAAAAAACATATATGTGTTGGTTTTATTGTGACAGATGCATACTTTAATGCATACTTTAATGATAATTAATCAACAAGGGGGGCGTGCTAGGAGAGGCTTCAATGTGATTGAGAGAGAGAGAGAGATAATACAAATCTCTTCTCTGCTTAAACTTTCACTAAAGCGTGACATTATCGGCGATACATAATTAGCGTCTCTCAAATAGCGGTCTAGATTCTAATTGGTTGCCGGATTAGCTCATCAATACTGAAATTTACACAGCTTTTCATTCACGGGTGAAATACACGTGGGATAAAAATGAGTCAGAGTCAACGAGTGATGCAAGGAACCAATTACATCGTTTCTTACAGTAAAGAGGTGTGGTTTATGTCATCTTATCGTTTGTTAACAACAGTCTGAAGTTGCTAATGTTATTAATTTCTTAACCAAGAGAATCTAGGTCACCATTTGAGAGACGCTAATTATGTATCACCGAGAATGTCATGCCTTACTGAAAGTTTAAGCAGAAAAGAGATTTGTACTAGTTGACTGGAGTTGTAAACCCTGGAAACTGATACGGTTATTATGACATCGGGCATATTGCACAGGCGAGAAACCTGTATTTATTTAAGGAATAACTGTCTAATTTTTTGGTTTCATGATGTGATCAATCGATTGGCTTGCGTGATAATTTGCATAAACGCTGGAGGCGTTTATGCATAAAATTATCACGCAAGCCAATCGATTGATCATCATCATGAAACCAAAAAATCTGACAGTTATTCCTTATATTTACATGTACATGCTCTTGATTCTGCAAATTCACGTGCTACAAGCCCCGCTTCTGTCTCTATTTGTCCCGCCCCGCATGTGATTTTTTTTTCACCACGCCTATCGATGAACCAGTAGATTTATTTAGAAATAAAGTAATTTTACTATTTTAAATTTTATCTCGGACAAAGACATTGGAAATGTAAATATTACTAAGTAATGCTTATATCAACATGCTTCTCTTGTTAGCAAAACTGCAAATGCAAATAAAACACTTCAACTATTATGTTTACATCGATTTTAATTTCATTTTAAAAGACTGATCAAGAATTCTGGTTAGTGTACTATAATACTTGTCATCAAATTAACGTTTACAAATTAAGGTATAATGAAACTGTCTATGTTTATGCCGAGTGATGCTGTGTTCAAGTCCTTGATAAACCAACATTTTTCATTGGTTTTGGAATTGTATGTGATCAGGCTTGCTGTTGCAGTATCGAGGGAAGCCCGTGGACCGTTGCTTATGGATACTGTAGCGGTTTCTCCATTTTTAGTGATAGTGAATTGAAGTTTACTCAACTCAGCTGAAAAAAAAAACAAATTGAGAATTTATACAGTAAACCAGGTTTATAGCGAACACGCTTATAATGAACTGACACTTACAGTGAAGTGATTTTCATTCCCGTTGCTTTTAAATACCGGTATATTGAGAATTTAATGGGTATAACTAATTACATTTATAACGAAGCTTACATTATATCTATCTGAATCTTCTTTAAATGAATCGAAACATTAGCACATGACAAGTTTTTGTATTTTAATTGTCTCTCACAATATTCAAAATTGAGAGAGAGAGAGAGAGAGAGAGAGAGAGAGAATGTAAACGCATACTTAGCAATCCGTTCTGAGTCCATTTTTGGGGTATTTCAACGAAGTAGGTGACGACTCCATCGGCGTGGCCGTTGAGTTTTACATCTACACCTCTTGCTAATTTGTACGTTTTACCATCGCTTTTCCTTACAGTTACCAATGTCATAGGTCTGCCCCACTTCCTCTTTCGGTCAACCTTTACTGCATCCACTGAATTTTGACCCATTGTTGCAGTGAATACGTACGCTATTAGAAGAAGAAGAAGATTTATTATTTCAACCTTAAATAAGTGTAATTTTTTGAAGCACGTATCGTTAATTTTCTCTTTGAAAAAATATGCTGATACTCAGACATTTTGACTGTGAAATATTGATTACATGTGCTGCGTCGTTTATCCGTTTCTACGTCCAAAAAGTTATATTTTGAATTTGAAGACAGCGGAAGATTAAAACATATGGATTCCGTCCCTCTTGATGGCTTCATCACAAATGCAGGGGTTGATGGAGTAGCTACAGAAAACAATAAAATCATTTTAACCCATATTGAATACTTTAGTAATGTTAGCACACATCTGCCCCTTAATACAAGTTACTTAAAAAAAGACAACAGGCGCATTCAACGTTACTGTCTTGCAAGCTAAAAAATGTACTGAATTGAAGATAAAATACATAATTTTTTTTTTCGGGGGGGGGGGGGAGAAAAATGTGCCTAAATCTTAACTACAAGTTGCAAAATATTTCAAAGTCGAAAAAAATACTGGGCATTCAGCAAAATTATCATTTTATAAAAAGTGTAATTACGTAATGAAATTTCATTTCCTTTTCATTTAAAAAAAGATAAAAAATAAACTATAACACAAAATTTTAAAATTGGCATAGCAGTAAATTAAAATATTGATAAAATATACCTGACAGAGCGCTTCCTGTTTGAACAGGTGTGGGTGGTTCAGTGGGAACTTTTTTTTTAGTTTCTGCAACTAAAAAAATTAATGGATAAACTGAATTATATAATATTCTAACAATACTTGTACATAGAGGATTATAGGTGGAATTTATTTCACTAATAAGAGATTTATTAAAATTCTCACCAGTGTGTTGAACTTTATATATATATATATATATATATATATATATATATATATATATATATATATATATATATATATATATATATATATATATATATATATATATATATATTAATATATATAACAGGACCAAAGACCAAAATTGATCTAAAATTGATCTTGATCAAATTGATCTATACAATGCATGAATATACATATGTATTCGGGAAACAATGAATAAAAGATTTCAAATATTCACTTTCCTATTTAAATTTACAAAGTATTTCTTTTAGCCCAGGACTGGCCAAATAAAATTAAAGTACCTACCTTTCGGACCTGTTGAACCTTGATAAAGAAATTAAAAAAATATCAAAATTTATTTAAATAGTATTTAATTTAAAATACATAAAACTCATGTTTTCAGTATCTTAATACACAATGATATCGCAATATCGCAGGGTAATTGCATGTTTCCCCTACAAATGTTTTCAAAAACAGACGCTTTTAAAGCTCAACTTCAAGACGAGGGTCTACCAATGAGTAAACGCTAGTACAACTTCAGCGTATGTTTCTCTAGAGTTAAATTTATTGAAAAACTTGTCCTGTTCAAAAGAATACTCTTGTGTAAAGAAATTTGTTTATCGATGAAAAATATAATTATAGAAGATTCTAAATATAATCACATCCGCGACTATTTTTCGTCGACAACCAATCACTCCCAATACCATTTAGAATGTGATATGAAAGCTCGAGCTCATTTGCAAACATGACAATGTATTGGGATTCCCCCTCCCCCACCCCTAAAATTATTTCCCTTAATCTGCTATCGAATGCATAGAAAATCACTATGGTGGAATAGAAGGCAGTCACAAAAACTCTGTTTAATGTTTTATCAAAGTTATCCTGATGTCCCAATGGACAAATATACCTTTACTTATCTCATTTTAACAAACTGTCTAAATGTAAAATTACCTGCATCTGATCCAAGTACTACTCCTTTCTTATCCTTCTTTTTAGCAAATGCTGTGAAGAATAAATATACGTTTTTAAATGTTACATAAACATTTCAATTTAATAAAACACTCATTGTAAAAAAATGTATGCAGAGATCAATATCTTTATATATTTTCAAATATTTTCACTTATTCAATTAAAATGATTTTGTCAGGTTAAAAATACCAGATTTACTATATTTTGTCATCTTCTAAAAATGAAGCATATCGGTATAATCTTGACCCTTTGGTATTATATCTATTTGTTGAAACAGTCTTTATTGTGGTGATTTGTTTTAACTTTCATTCAATAAAAACCGACGTTTTGACCTTGAAATTTGACTGAAATTTGATGCCTTTCTAAGGCACTTTACAAATGTTAAGTTTTCTTTGTTTATTGTTTGTTGTGTAACGTACCTCTCGAGAATTTTTCACTCATATGGAAACGCCGTCATTTGCCGCTGGAGAGCTGCAAATTTAGACCTATACTCGGCAATCAGAGCCATTGAGCAGCAAGGAATCTTTTTCGTGCCAGCACCTACTGCGACATGGGATCTCGGTTTATACGGTCTACTCCGAAGGACCGGTCTCTACGTACGTCCCACAGTGGGGTTCGAACCAGCGATCAACACAGGATCAACACCTTGCTCTGCAACTCTAGAGCAGACGCTCTAACCACTGCGCCACGTATTTAAAAAAATGCTAAGGTAATTTGTTATACAATATTATATATTGTCCAAGTTATTGCATGATAATAGTCAAATCAGTGATCTCAGTCTTTCACTTTGATATTGATCAAGTGACTCCCAGATCTATAGGAAACAGTCTGTCCTTCTTCGTTCTCAATCTACACAGCACATCAGGTGTCTGTAGATTACTGAAAGTCCGAATAATTGCATCACAATTATCATATAATACCAGGTATATGCTACTAACGATCTAAAAATCTGACTTTTGATCAAGCGGTCCCCAAACAAGATTCTTCCTATAACAATTTTTAAACTTTTCAATATATTCGAGCGTAAATGTTGAGATAAATAAAATATAAAGGACATCGGTAACTACTTAGACGTTTGATGTTTTACATATTAACCTAAAGAACTCTGAATGTCTTACTCTAACCATTGTTCAAATGTACAGTAAAAAAAGAAAAAAAAATGAATTATTGCATTTCGTAATAGTGTTTAGTATCGAATAATCAGATAGAAACTTTTACATGAGAAGAAAAAAAAAATTGCTGTGGCCTTCAACATGACATTCGGATATACGATGTTTCATCAAATAACAATAATTATTTCCATTCACATGTCAACTCGATGAACTCGAAAATAAAAGACACCACAGAGTCTGTCACATCCGTTTCATATTTGGATGTTTTACTGACTGTTGAAGATAAGAGCTATCAATTCAATTGATGACTTCATCTTTATACATGTATCGTCAACTTTTTCGGGGATTTAAATAATATCGTCGGCATTTCGTAAATTCTTTGGTCCAATAAAATAACCTTGTTTACAAATATAACCTGTCAGTCGGTCATATTATGGCTGATTTGTTTCATACCAATTATTAGGCCTTTTTCATTCTAAATTTGACTACGTAATGTTTGCTCTAGACGATCAATACATATAGCTCAGAGCGGTTGTGACCAGTCAAAAGGGGATGCTTATTTCTCCAAGGCACCTGATCCCACCTCTGAATTTCCCCGGTTTTATGGCCTCTTCGCGGATTTGTATTATTTGTAGATTTTTTTAAGGTCGATCACTGTTAGTTATCTTCACCTTAAATAAACAGAGGGCATTTTTACTCAAAGCCCTGATACATTGATAAATTAGTATATAGAATATGATATGTACTACTTTACCGCCGATTGGAAAACCTGGTACTGAAAAATAAAGTAAATGGTTCTGAATGAATTAAAGTGCATAAAAAGAAAATATTATTTGAATCTGTTATCTTTATCTTCATTGATGAAAAAAATTTCTAAAATAGAGAGAATTAAATCACTAGTTCATTTACATCATATCACAAGATTTATCAATCATATATGCATGCGTTGTGAGAGAGAAACTGCATGAGTGTCTTCACGTTACATTCCATTGACTGGTGTGAGTAAATAGCAACAACTTACTGCCACCAAGATGCTGGTCTATGAAGCTCGGATTCAACGGCTGACCGGGGGGAGGGAATGGGGGTGCTGTGTAAATAATAAACTTCTTGACATTTGCTAAAGACAACTTTTCTATTAAGCAATATATCTAATAAGGAATACAGTAAATTTTGTCTTATCTGACACCACTGGTTCCAAAGGAATAAGCCGGATAACACTCCGTATTAGACAACATTTTAATCAATTGAACTTACACAAAGGGACTTAAAGGATTCATAATATTAGGCAAGATTTCGGATTTAACAACATGCAGATACGACAAGTTTTACTGTATGCTTTACAGATAAAATATTTTCTTGAGATCCTTCAAAGCAAGGAAAAGAGAAGAAGAAAGAGTAGAAAAAGGGTTGTCAAATTAAAAAAAAATATTTTTAAGATCATTATATCTTCGGTCAGCATTCTATTCAAAAGACATTTCACACAAAAGGAATGTGTTTGTTTCAGAATACAGACAAGATATAGTTACTCTTTTCTGCAATCTTATCATACATTTCTACTGAGGAAATTGAACATATGTTCGACAAAAAGTCAATTTGCCGCCAGTGTTTTTGATCAATTCAGTCAAATATGTTAAACTCGTATGATGTATCACTTTTTAAGGATTGATGATAAACTCCCCTAAGTTAAAGAAAAAAAAGATTGATAGCGATCAAACGCTAAGAAGAATTGTTAAATATAGTCAGGAGAGAGTGTTTTATACCTACAATCTGATTTTTTTTTGTTTATCATGCCTTGATAAAACAACTTCATTTCAAGCCGCATATACAGCAATTATAGCAGTTCAAAGAGCTCAAGTTTTATATAGAAAAGTTTAATGTTCATCTGTGCAATGCATGTTTTCCAACTTTTGTAATGTGAAATGGGTTTTTAAAGCAAAATTAGACGAACACTTATAAAGACATCATTTAATTGACACGTATAAGCATGAATGATCTGAAATGAGTGTCCGTGAAAAAGCTTAATTCTCTGTTATATCAAGCTCAAGCGCTTCTTCGTGAGAAATTCTATAAAGAACTGCAAATAAATGTGCCATATACTCACGTGGAGCCCCTCCGCCTGGCGGAGGGTGTGGAATTCCTCCTGGCGGAAGAATTCCTCCGGGCGGCAGTTCACCTATCAATGAATAAAATTGAATGCATATAGTAAGCATTAAAATCTGTTAAAATTTTCTACATGCCTATAATAAAAGTGGAAATTACCTGCTCGTGGAATTGCTCCACATGTACAAGGTTGTACCTGTTGTTGATCAGGCAACGTCACTATCATTGAGGTCAGTGGAGTCACAAATTGGTACTACAAGTGGAAAAATGTTTTGTAAAACAGGTAATGAAGAATTGTTTTCAAATTGAATTGCACATTGTTAAAGTTTAGCTCGTTTTCAAATATTATATTGATTTTCAAAAATTAAATTGTGAAAATAAGTTGTTTGTTACCGAGTAATCAAAACCAAACCGATCACAAATTGTTGACCTGACCCCTGGTTCACAAAAATTAGAGAACTCACCCTTGATGTAGTCTCACTTTTCCACTTTAAATTCCTTTCGTAAAAGTAAGACTGAAATCAAAAGTGAGCTAGTCTACGTTCTATGGCCTGGGGTCTGGTGTATAAACAAAAGCCTACCTTAAGAGCTTTTTTGATTATTTCGCCTTCTATCTGTAGTATTTCCTGAATGACGTCTGTGGTTTCCCTCTTTCTCAGTAATTGCTTAATGGTCAAGTAAGCCCATAGTTTTTCCATCATTCCAGGGTGACGTTGCCCAGGAGGCAATCCTTGGTTTTCAGAGGGAAGGATTTTGCACTGATTTGGGGGATAAGGTAAATTAAAACTTCCGTTGTATCTTTTGGCTGTAATCGCCATACCTTGCTGCAAAAGACTGAGATCATTCACCTGGCCAGCAACAACGAGTTCGGTTCCTCCGAAGTAATTTTCAAAGTGTTTATCAGTAACTGTAGTGTCGTATAAGGCACCGTCCAAGTATTTGAAGTCAACATCTTCCAAAAGAATGCTTGAGATCTCTTCATAGAATCCAGTAATTTGCAATGTTGCATCAGATTGTGCATAAATTTTTCTTGCAAAACCAAAGTTCCTTGCAGCTATTTGCTTTGCCATGCCATAGTCTGCTTCTTCGCCAAAAGCCAGGGTAAAGATAGGAATATTCCAGGCCGAGTTGGCGTTGACGATGTTTTGCAAAATCCTTTCTGGGTCTCTTTCGCCTATAGTAGGCTTTCCGTCGGTGAGGAAAATCATCATAGCAGGTCGGTCGCCAACATGAATTGTATTGAATTCCCTAAATCCCTCTACGAAGGCGCGGTTAATATTCGTTCCTTCAAAATATTCATTGTTTGAATTTAATATAAGTTGTCACTCTTCTCATATAGGGATATTTCTATCATTTTCTATATTAAGCAATATTCAGCTGTGTAATTTGAATTGTTTCTCAACACTGACTCAGACATTACGAAAGATGAATGATATTGTAAGGTTTATTGTTAAGTTTTCATAAAATATATGTAGCTCTAATAAAATCAAACTCAATGTTCTACATTAACTTACGATATTTAATTAGAATTAAGTTCTTATCCATAAAAATTGGTAGAATAATAAAAAAAAAATCAGTACATGTTCATTTACCTCCAAAAGGCATCTGACTTCTGACATACTGCTTGGCATCTGCAATATTGTTAGGAGTAGCTGGCGCTAATCCTCTGTTCCTCATCATAAATCCATCTCGTACTTTCCAGGAATGAACGTTAGCCGAAAATGAAAGCATCAGAATTCTGTCTTCGGGTTTAACATCGTCTAATATCCTATAAAGCGCTGCCTGAAGTTGGCTCATTTTCCTACCTAACATAGAACCACTCTTGTCAAAGATCAAAACAATGTCTGTAGGTATAGGCGGTAAATCGGGAGCGGAATAATGAACAAAGTAGCCGTCCATAACCTGTAATAGGTCATAAGAAATGGTTAGTAATCATATACAAGGAACAAACTATTACCTATAATTTTACAAAATAAACAACGGAATTTATTTCCTTAATATTGTATTTTCAGTGTTGTTCAACATTAAGCCACCAACATGGTCTACATGTATAACCTGTTATAGTTCATCAGTAATAAACAGCAGTCGTGGTACTTGAGGGGTAAGTGTACTTCAAATATATACCTAACACGGTTTTTATCCAGTTATTGTTTATATAGAAATTATAATCAATTCATTAAAGATGAAAGCCGGAGAGAGTTTCACTGAACTTTTGTTGCTTACCAGAATTTCACCAGCATCAAGGGATCTTTCGATGTCATATTGGACGATAAATTTACCGGAGAGTCCATACTCAGAAAGCTCTACTTGTTGTCTCAATGTTGGTTGATATGTCACAATTGCTTGGTTTCCGCTCGGTAAGAATTCAACAGTTGCTAAATCATTGGTGCCTGAAAAATTTTAAGTAACTAATTAAGACTTGTATTTTCACTTAAAATACATTCAATATGGCATGAGTTCAATTTACTCTATTCAAATTGAGAAAATGAGAAAACATAAATTCTGGGCAATGGCTTATTTTATTTTTTTCTCTGAAAGATAATATAACCGTCACAAAATAAGAATGCCACAGAACTGAATATATTTGTTTTTAAAAGTATTTTTCTGGACGTTCAGTGATCCTTGTCCCCATGTTGCAGACAATGGAATAATATGTATGCCACTGTATGTATAATTGTATACAATTACAATTAGTATGATTGTGTACAATTACAATTAAAAAATATATAAACGCTTTCGTAATTATACTTCTAATTTACACCTCTAACCATTTTCTTGGACTCCTGAAAAAAGGTTATTGTTTTAACCGTAAACGATACAACGCGGCAGAGTGGTGAATACAGCATTAAGCCTTGTAACTGCAACACTTAATGATATTTATCAAAGAGTCAGTGGTCTATATTTTCATCTGTTGATGATAAATTGTTGCTTAAAGAATTTTACTTGAAATACTTACGATTCCAATACACCCACTTTGACACATGTAAAAAAAATGATTAACAGCCACATACCATATGCATATATATATATACATCGAATTTTAATGAAATTTGCAATTTTCCGCAATTTAAATAAACCAGTTGACTTTTGTTTTCTTTAAAGATGTTAATTTACGAAGTCTGTATATTCAAGTAATTTTTCACGCGCAGTTCTAATATTACATATATGTCCTATAAAGTGCTTTTAAAAAATTGTTGAGATTTATAAGGGTGATGACAAGAAGAGGGAAATTTGAACACCTTAGAAAGCCTACGATTACTTAATATTTTAGAGATTTTATATATGCATCATTCACAACAAAATAAAACCAAAAATGTGTACCAATCAATGCATTTATTTTTTGATTAATTAATTTTTTTGGGCTCGTAGCATATGTCCTTAATAGGGAAATAAAAATTTTCATAAATGTATTTTTAAAAAATGTTTTCCCGTGATCTGGATTTGCCACAAAAATCGTAAGAATCCCTTTTTTAAAATGTAGTTCAAATTTAATCAATGGAAATAATGATTATAATGGGGGACATAATGGTAACGCCATTGTAGAGCAGGCGGTCAAAGATCTACGTAAGGTTATAAAGAAGAATCTCAATGCCTTTGATGTGCTTCATCTTCCCTTGCAAAATTCACATTTATACATTTATTTTAAAATTTTTTATCATTATATATATATTCATTATACATGTATATTCATTTGGTTTTTTTTTTTATTAAGCGTCGTGGCTGTATTGCAATCGTAAAACATGGTGATATCATTCTTTCAATAAGCGACGATTTATCATTAACTGACGAAAAAGTCATCATTTTCTTTAGTGTTGTAGCTACAATAAGATTTTTTTCTGCCATACTATCACTAAGCTGCGATATATCCCTAACGGTTCGCACAACCCACTGCATGTATGTTCCTGTTTTGGTTTAAAGGGAATCGACAAACGTATATGGAAAAGATTGATTGATTGTTCGTTGTTTAACGTCCCTCTCGAGAATTTTTCACTCATATGGTGACGCCACCACTTGCCGGTGGAGGGCTACAAATTTTGACCTATGCTGGGCACTCAAGGCCATTGAGCAGTGAGGGATCTTTTTCGTGCGAGCACCTACTGCGACACGGGACCTCGGTTTATAAATACGGTCTCATCCGAGGGACCGGTCTCCACGTCCCGCAGTGGGATTCGAACCCGCGACGTAAGGATCAACTCCTTACACCGCGACTCTAGAGCAGACGCTCTAACCACTGCGCCATGCGGGCGACTATATGGAAAAGAAAAGAAAATCCTCATATTTCAATTCTGGTAGAAAATTAAGTATCAAACTGAATGTGAGTGATTAAATAAGTTTTCTTTGTCTAAAAACTGTCTACGTAAAGATTCACGAGAAGAAATCACAACTTGCACTGAGGTGAACTTATATAGAGTGAACTTTAGTCATTTGGTAAAAGATGATATTTGGAAATAATGAACATTATTCAAGCTCATAAGTCCATTCAAACAATACAAATCAGGAGCAGAGCAAACACGGACCTCTAAAAGATCAGAGGTGAGATAAAATACTCTGTCATGATGTATTTTTATAGTTAAAAGTACTGTTTACTCTAAAACATCTATACTTATAAATTAATAAATTTTGCAAATAAACTCCGAAACGGGTGCACCACAGTTCTAAATTACTCCTCTAACAATACACTGTATACAAGATGATGTCCGTAAACTATATTTAGATTTCACTCCCATAGTAAGTATCGTACATTAAATTAAAAGTCTACTTTCATTTTCTATAAACAGCCATGAAATAGGAAAAACGTGAGTATGGTGGCGTTTCCGGTTGGCGGATCTAAGTTACTGGCAATTTTTAATGAAACTGACAACAAGCAATCGTTTATTTATTTCATAAAACGTCATCACTGAATCATTCAATCAAAACTTGAATTAAATGATATAAAAGAAATATGTTGTGATAACCGATTAAAAAGGGAAATGTGCAAATTATTTTCGTCATTCACCGATCTTAATATTGACGGAATAATTGAAATTGAAATAATGGTAAATCAATGATAACACTATAAGTTGTGAATATACTGTATTTATCTATCGAAAGACTATTACATATATTTAGTAAAAAAATTATCGGTAACCGAGAGCATCGTGGCAACGAACCCGAAGTACAAATTGTACTTAGTAATAAACTTGCTTACATGAAAAGAGAAAATTGATAAATAAGGTATTGTTCAACTACAATTAAAGCTGTAAAATTTTGTGCTTTAATCAATGCATTTCAGTTTTTTTTTCTGAATACAGTCTTTTGTGTCAAATACTCGGCCTATTCATAGAGCGTTAAAAGCTATGTAAAGTACTTTTTTTTTTTTACATATCAATAAGGTACATACATATTTATAAACCAAGACCCAAGTACCTGTGAATTTTTACCCCCCCCCCAAAAAAAAAAATCAATTTATCAGTATAATGTGCATATTTGCTCATTTCGCTGCTTTTATCCTCGACGAAAATGAAATAAGAGCATCTGAAGTTACTGTACAATGTCCATAACATAGTATTACATGTTTCAAAATAAACGTCAATTAATGAAATCGTTTTTTTTTTTTTTCAAGCTTTTACAAAAAGGGGGTGGGGGTGGAGACGTACATCTACTTCATGCGGGATTTTGAACAAAGTATTTCTTCCTGCAATAAGCCTGTAGGCTGTGAGTAGAAACTACAATATATTTTGTGTCTGTAGTGGTATAAATTCAATTCCCCGCGCTTGCGCAGGATTTCATCTAGTATATAATATATTTATACAGTTCCCATAAACTACCTGTCTAAAGCTTTGTTTGTTTGTTTGTATGTTGTTTAACGTCCCTCTCGAGAATTTTTCACTCATATGGAGATGCCACCACTTGCCGGTGGAGAGCTGCAAATTTTGTCCTATACTCGGCACTTACGGCCATTGAGCAGTGAGGGATCTTTTTCGTGCCAGCACCTACTGCGACACGGGACCTCGGTTTATACGGTCTCATCCGAGGGACCGGTCTCCACGTCCCGCAATGAGATTGGAACCCGCGACGTAAGGATCAACTCCTTACACCGCGACTCTAAAGCAGACGCTCTAACCACTGCACCACGCGGGCGACCCTGTCTAAAGTAAACACTTACCCAATGGCCCTTCTGTTAATATATCCGTTTGTAGAGGTGGTATTTTGATTGGGTTGATTTTCTGGGACTCTGTTATCATCACACTGATGAGGAAGTCTTCGATTGGCTGACCAGGACTCAAGAAAATCACATGATTGTAAAATCCCTTTACTCTTCTCAGGAGCTCGCGGTATGTTAACTCAAACTTCACCTCCTCAAAAGCAGCCACATTTAGTTGAACTTGGAAGCTGTTTGAGCTTCTCGGCCTGTGTTTATGAATATTTTATATAATAAAGTCTTAAAACTTCCTATTGATATTCAAGGACGTTACAATATATTTTTTACAAAAGGAGTATATGAACATACAATTTGAACTTCATATGATAATGTGGGATATTTTTGATGGTCCACTAGGTTTTCCAATAACGTATTTATCCTGCTAAAAAATACATCAATTTTGTTTCAGTTTATAGACATATATAATTCTCATAATGATAACAAACAAAACTTCGTTTTCTTGTCATTTTTGAGACTCAAAAGAATACATTTATGAAACCAAAATTAATTTTCCACTTTACGTTTGTTAACGAAAAAAAAGTAATTAAAAGATCAAACGATGATTTACACCGAAAAACAAATAGAAAAAAACCGAACCGTGACAAAGTAGGGTCAATTTTCCATAAAATTCAAAGAACACTTGCCTTGTTACGATGTGCCCTGCTGTTCTGCCCATCATCTGTGCTTGCTCGAATTCTTGTCGAGCCACCTCTCTTTCTTTAATTTTACCAAGGTAATCTTTACCTCTTACTGTCCTGTAAAAATTCATGCACTTATAAATCACAGTTTCTGTGTTATCTGCATGTTACATTACGTACCTTTCAGGAATTTCCATAAGACGTGGAAAGCATGTATACGCAGTTTATTTGATTGGGACTATCCTTTCATTTAGAATTGCGTACTTTGCTTTTTTCAATTCTTGCGACTCTATATAATCTTCTTTACCAAGAATAAGAATTCAGTTTCGTAATGTTTTGAGAAGTTTTTATTTAATAGTTATAATATATCAAGGATTGGTCAATCAAAGAAATAACATAATATTTGATATATATATATATATATATATATATATATATATATATATATATATATATATATATATATATATATATATATATATATATATATATGATATATTTAATATTTTATTGTTTTGATATATTTGATATTCTGTTGTTTTTGCCATATGAAAAGATTCCTGATTTCACCTTCTGTAGGAAGAAAAATGAAAATAATGAACAGCTATCAAGCACAAAATCCATTGGAACTAAGCAAACACGGACCTCTAAAAAAATCAGAGGTGGGATCAGGTGCCATGGTTTAAACTTAATGGCAGTAACATGTCCATATCTACCACCGCATTAAATACTAAAGCCAATATTTTTTTCTTTAAACTTTGAAGATTTAACCCCACGAAAATAAGTCATTAACAGTGGCTAAAAGAAGTCCTTACAGCTTGAAAGAAGAAATAAAAGCTTCTTCTGGTAAATCCATATTAAACCGAAGTTCTTCTGGCCAGGAATTGTTGTTCGATATTTTACTTGTGACAATAGTCCTGGAAAAGCGGTAGTCAATCTCCGATACCACATGAAGGTAGGTAATCTATAAAAATGAAAATCATTTATCTTCACCTTTTTGTAATGAAAGAACATCGTATATTTCAAACGGAGTAATGCAAGTCAGTCGAAATCCTATGAAAAGCCTAATTTCAAAGGTTGAAAGTAAGAAAACAACGGGTAAAAATGATCGTTATAATTAGAGGCTAAACAGAATTGAGAAAACAACCTTCATCAATTTTTTTATATGAGATATTTTTTAATACCACGTTATTTGTAGTGATGTTTTTATAAAATACGTAGCAAGTGGTTTGTCAAATAATTCCATCTTAAAGTTACAATAAATATTCTTTACTTTAAGTGGATATGTCGTTAGAAATTTAACTTAAAAAATTGAAAATCATCCTAAATTAATGGAATCATTTACATTGAAAGCATCAGACGATTATTAGAAAACTATCATAAAATTTTGTATAAGCAAAATTGATACGACAAACCTTGTATGCATAAGTTAGAGTCCATAGTAAAGGTAATGTAAACAGTACACCTTTAAGTTTCTTCATGTTTCTAAATTCTCACTAACATAAAGCGTGTAAATTTTAAATATATAAATAAGACACAATATTACGAAACGAAGTGCTTTTTGATTGGTTGATGCGACAGGAATTTAAAATTTTGACGGACCTCATATATTAACTTGAACGTGGATATCGAAGATTCCTCGAAGGGATAATGCATCATAACGTCCCAGAGTGATTATCATAATTTTACATATAGTACAAAAACGTGATTGTTAGCATATTGAAAGATGTTGATCATTTTCATAGATTTAAAAAAAAAAAGAGCATGGCTTTGGTTTAGATGAACCTTGATTTTAAATGTTTATTTTAGGAAATCTAGTTTGAAATTTTACAATGTTTATTGTATTATTTTATGAGTCAGATAGGTAAAATATATGTAAGAAATCAAGAAACACATGTTGCGATTGTGATGTATCAAAAAGGTTAATGAATGGCTTAAAATGTCAATTTTCACCAATATTAAGGCAATGTCCCTTGGGGTTCTGACCCTAATTTATTTTTTTAGCAAGGGTCATCGTGGTACATAACTATATAGGTAGACGAGAAATTGTCTGGTTGGGATTTCTGAAAATTATTATGTTAAATTGCAACATCTTCAATAAAACAGACAGCTTTTTGTTTTTGAAAACCTATTGTTTTCATTCTTTTTAGTACGTGATTAAACGGTTCATGCGTCATGCTGTCATCGAAATGTCGTGAATGATTTATAAAATGTGCAGCGATAAAAAAATAAATAAATAAGACAAGCCTATATCAGAGTATTTTCGCTGAAATTAAAATAAATTCATAATGTTTAGAATGTATATTTTCTGTCTTTTTAAAATTATTTAGGAATCACAAATGTATTTTTGTCGACAGCAAATCAGAACGACATGTAGGAATAACTTTTTTCGGCATCTGTGTCCCTTTGTCAAACGCTATATTTTTTTGAAATGTCAAAGGTAGAGATTTAATATCTGACTTATGCATCAAGAGTTACTGCCTTTGTGACATGACCTATGACTTCCTTTTCAAATGGGTTAATATTGTCGGTTTTCGTTTCTCTATATTCTTTGATTCTGAAATGATTAGCATTTGCACTGCATGTCTAAAGTCTTTCTGAAAAATACTAGAGTTGCAGTCAACTCAATTCTGATATTTGATCTACCTTCAAGAATACTCCGAACTGTTAAAATAAAATGTGTAGTTTTGATTTTGAGAGGTAGCGCATTGATTTCCAAGTTTTTGACCTCATGGCACTGTATTTGGGAATGTATGATAGACATTAAGATGTAAAAGGTGAAGAAAAAAGACCAATTACCAATATCATAAATCCAGTGAAGAATACCTTCTGTAAAGATGAGGTAAACAGAGTGATCTGTTGTCAAAATAGCATACAAACAATTACCTAATAATTGCTGAGGAGCATATTGGTCAAAAAACGACCCAACGATAGGTTTTATAATTTGCAAACAAAGTCATTATAACGAACATAGAATTTGAGAAATGCTGAATTTTAAGGAGATAGTTGAAAACAATATCGACTTAATTGTCACTAACCTATAGGTATTTCAAAATTGTTTGAAATTTGAACATGCTCTTGAAATTGAGATTAAAACACTGCATGCAGGTGTTTATGGAATATTGCTACATAAATAAGTAAAGATGCCGATTGAAAAATTGAAGTCATCCCGTTTGTCATATAGTTTAGTTGTTAGTTGTCAATTGACGTTAATAGTCATTACAATATCCAAGTAAGAAGCAGATGTTGCGAACTCTTTTCTGTCTTTTTTTTCAGTTTACTGGGATATATTAAGTTGATTTAAGAATGAAATAACTAATTGATAAAAAGTGGTCGATGTATCGAAGTACTGAATTGAAAACCAAAGAAAGATATTTTCTTCTCAGATAGAAGTTGTTGCATAAATTCTGCTGCATAAGAATATAAAAATAGGTCGGCTAATAAATGAGCACAATAATCGCCCTTCGAAGTTGTTGGAAAACCTGGTCTCCAATGATGAAAAAAGGCATTTTTTTTTTCATTATCAACTTCAGATTACCTGTGTGTAGAATTAGAATGATGTTTAACAAAGTAATTTTCTAGATGACCAATCACGAGGTTTGAACATTTACGAATTCCATTTTTATTGAAAAACAGTGGTCTATTATGTCAAAAGGGTCCTCTTTATCGTAAGGAATGGTTGTATAAAGCGTTGAAAAGACATATGGTTTTATGCAATTACATTTTGAAGTTTTGTGATTTTATTTTTATGCCCCCGTATCGAAGATTCGAGGATATATAGTTTTTTCCCTGTCCGTCCGTCTGTCTGTCTGTTTGTTCACAAAAACTTTAACCTTGCCCATAACTTTAGATTGGTTGGAGCTATGACTTTCATACTTCACGTGTGTATTCCCAGTGACAAGACCTTTCTTCATATCTGACCTTTTGACCATCACTTGGGAGTTTGACCCACTTTTGCAAAATTTTATGAGACTTTAACCTTGGCCATAACTTTTGAACAGTTGGCGCTTGCGGTTTCAAACTTCACATGTTTATTCCTTATGAAAAAACCTTCCTTTGCATACCAACCACTTTGACCCTTTGACCTTGATGTAGGAGTTTGACCTACTTTTGAAAAACTTTAACCTTGGCCATAACTTTTGAACAGTTGGTGCTACGGCTTTCCAATCACTTTGATCCTTTGACCTTCTTTTGAAAAACTTTTACCTTGGCCATAACTTTTGAATGGTTGGTGCTAGGGTTTTCATCCTTCACATATGTTATCCTTGTGACAAAACCTTCCTTAGGATACCAACCACTTTGACCCTTTGACCTTAACCTAGGATTTTGACCTACTTTTGAAAAACTTTAACCTTGGCCATAACTTTTGAATGGTTGGTGCTAGGGCTTTCATACTTCACATATGTAATTCTTGTGATAAGACCTTCCTTTGGATACCAACAACTTTGACTTTGACCTTGGCGTTTGACCTACTTTTGAAAATCTTTAATCTTTGCCACACCTTTTAATCATTTGGTGCTTTCATACTTCACATGTGCATTCCTTGTGACAAGACCTTTCTTTGGATACCAACAATTTTGGCATTGACCTTAGATTTTAACCTACTTTTAAAAAACTTTAACCTTGGCCATAACATGTGAACGTTTGGTTCTAGGGCTTTCAGATTTTACGAACATGTGTATCACTTTTGACAAGACCTTTCCTTGGGGCCCCATTTGACTTTGACCTTGACATTTTACTTACTTTTAAAAAACTTTAACCTTCACCATACTTTTGAACAGTTGGAGCTAGGGCTTTCAAATTTCACAGGTATATTCCTTGGGACAAGACCTTTCTTAGGGTACCAGCATTTTTTATCTCTTGACCTGGATTTTGACTTGAATTTGAGAAACTTTAACCTTCGCCATAAGCTGCCATACTGGGCATCAGTGTTTCACAAACACATCTTGTTTAAAAAGTTCCTCGGAATTTTTGAGAATCCGCATTTAATTTACACCACTTCTTCAATATATTGTAGCGTAGTACGTCTAAATCTTCTCATTCACAGCAGTCAAATTCTTAATTGCATGCGGTTTGTGTATGGAAATGAACTGAGATCGTCATTACTGATCAGAGTTCGTAATTCAAGTATGTTGACTGAAATTTGGAGCGAAGACCAAGTCATATCAAAGGTAAGGATAGAATCTTTTTCAAGCAACAAATCTGAGGGACTGTTGAATTGATATATAACCTTTGGTTAAATAAATTGACACGTACTCAAGTACTTTGATGATGGTGTTAAACTACTCTGTAACGAATACACATTGCTGTTGAACATTATTTGGTAGTGAATGATGGCTTTCAAATTATCATGGCTTACGTCCGTGATTAGATGCCGGATAATGCAAATTTTACGATTACATATATACAAATTTGCTGGGTTTTGATGCTTTGTCCCGAATTAGCCCATTAAGACCATTCTCCTGTACACATTGTAAAATTTATGTTTTTGTTGCAAACAACAAAAATAACACAACATATTGATTTTTAGGATCGTCTTTGAAGACAAAGAATTGAAAGTTTTATTTTTTAGTTTATGTTTCAATTTTGATTTAAATGTTTATGTTATATCTGATAAATTATTGTTCATCAAGTCATAAAGTAAAAATAGAGACAAACAGTGGCAGATGCTTTACTTCTTTTTTTCGTTGTATCGTATAATTCTACCATTCATGATTTTTTTTTTTCTATTCTAACGGATTCATAAACTATGTTACTATTGTGTCAAGATTAATAAAAAATTGACCATACCTTTGCTTCACTTACATTCTTTATATCCTCTTTGCAGGCGATACATGCGTACTCGTTTACTGTGTACTCCTTGGAGACATTGTAGTCAATAAGTGAGAAATTCAATTCTTTTAAGAATGATTATTCACAAATAGATTTAAAAAATAATTCTTCCTATAACTCTACAAAGTACAAAGGATTTTCAGTAAGTTGAAATGCTAAAATCGAAGCTGAAACGTCAGATTTTAAAGACCATATCCAAATTATACAAATACAAATTTTAAGCTTTGAAATTTGAAGCTTGAAAGAATCCATCTTTTGTTCACTACAAGATAAGATTAGACAAGATAAGACTTAAGATATTTTTATCTCATATTCATCACAAACCTGTAAATAAAAGTAAGAACAATAATCTCCTCGTAGTTTTTGGATAATGGATAAAACAAGTGTTAAAAAGTTAAGAAGAAGAAGAAGGAAATTCATGATTTTTTTTTTCAAAACAAAGCTTTTTTAATGCAGTAATAGGTAGAATACTCTAAATAAACGTATATTTGCGAGCTCAAAATTTAGCACAATCTTTCTCGTCCACCTAATGAATTAGGAAATTTAGAGGCAAGCTTGTACACTGTGTAATTATTTGTTTTGCTTATATATATATATATATATATATATATATATATATATATATATATATATATATATATATATATATA